CAAAATCTTAGAAACCCACAGGGTCAGTTCTACTCTTTCCTAGAGGGTCACTATGAGTCAAAATCGACTCAATGGCAGTGAGCTTGGTTTAGCAAAGTAAAGAATGTCTGAGAAGAATTCATTACATTTGCCATTACAAAGCTCAATGGTATTTCTAGTTAAAGTTGGTCCAGTGCAATGGTAGATGGGTCCAGTGAAACTATATTGGGTCCCAGTGTAAGAAGGTGGGACTTCAGGATGGGCCATCTCACTGCTTGGAAATGTGGTTAATCCTACTTATGCCTACCTCTATTGACTATTATAAAATTTCAAAATAATTTAGTAGGGAGAACAGATGGAGGTGGTGGTAGAAAGTATTTGCCCATGCAGAAGAGGAATGTTCCTGAAATGTCATTCAGGATTAGAAAAATCAAACTTGGGAGAGCAAGGGAAAGTTTCTTTCAGGTCTGGCATAATGTCTGCCTCAGAAACATTTCAATATGGGAATCCTGCCACACCCCGTCTTGTATTTTACACCTTCCGCCTATTTCATTATCAATAACTATGTACTAGATTAGGTGTGGAGAACTTTCTTGGGGCCAAGGGCCATTACTTGTCAAACATTTAATTAACTCATGCTTAACGTGATGGCGGAACTGCTCTTTGGTGAAGCCTGTGATGTTCGCTGGCACTGGTGATAGCGTGGTATGCCACAATGGACGTGGGCATAGGAACAATTATGAGGATGGCCCAGGGCCTCTCAGGGCCTCATTTTGTTGTGCATGGGGTTGCTATGGTTCAGGCCTACTTAACAGCACCTAAGAACAGCACCCCTGTATTAGTTATTCAGCCAGGAGCATGGAAGCATCCCATCCTCCTACAGCCCCCTCCTCCCCACACTTACAAGCATCTTATTTACGTAAGAATGGTATTATTTTGTTCTTGTATCATGGAACCTGTGGCCTGCCTTCTGTGGTAATCAAGTCAAATGGTTAACATGCTACTAAGTACAATTTCTGGTCACCCCCACATAGAAGAAGCAGCTTAGAGTGGGGAACATTCTGCTAGCCAGATGAAGTAGGATTTTGCCAGCTTCCAAGGCCAGGGAAACCCTGGATAGTAATCAATGCCATAGCTGACTATGAATAGGACCACAGAAGGAGAGGGTGGCTGCAAACCAAACCTCTTTCCCACCTTGCCTTGATCTCTTGGCTGGTTCTTTGCTAGTCCCAGTTTTACCCCCCAATACTTGGAGGAACAGAGCAATCAGGAGTACTTTTAAAGATGATGGGACCGAAAGATGAATTGAAAGGCCACAGTTAAGTGCTGGAAGGGTCAGGAGGCAGACCAGTCTTATCCAGAGATTTAAATTTTTAATAAATATTAATGGATGGATGGAAGTCAAAACTAAAGCCAAAGAAAGGCTTACACATGCTTAGGAATTTTGAGTTAGAAATTCTTGACTTCTAACTCTCCCCCAAAGGAAGTCACCAGGGGAAACCAACGTGATGATTAAGAAACAAAACACTGGGCTGTATCAGAGCATTTTCCCAGTCAGAGTTCCCAGTGGAGGCCTGCAGCCTGCTTGGGTTGAGGAGATTAGCCGCAGCTTCTGCCTGAATCTCTTCTCTACATCTTTTTGCCAGATGGTCCTTCTAGCATTCTGAAGGTGCTTGGCCCTCTAGGTTCTTGTAACCCGAGTCTGAACAACTTTGGTCCACCAGATTTCCCTGCACTCACCTCCTCCAGCAAACCTCTCTAATGCCTAGACAACCCCTTGAGGCACCAGGAAATGCATCCATTCCCTCTGCTGGGTGCAGAGCCTGAGCTGAGGTATTGATATGAGAGCCTCTAGAGCACCTTCTCCATCAGGTCCAAGAGGGAGCTGACTCAGTGCTCTTTAATTGGTGAACACACAATCCTTGACTTGTCTTGAATTCTCAGGTGTTTTTTTTCTTAAAGTACAATCCAGAATTGCCACAAATTGAAAATGTTGAATGTAAACATCATGAGAGTGCAGATCCAAAACAAGAAAAGGGAAGGAAAGAAATTCTGAAGGTCCCATGGATCTTTGCCTTGAGGCTTGCTTCCTTGGGGATTCTCTGAACCGCATCCCCCAAGCCCTTCTTGCCACTGCCACTCCTAGAGCAGGCCACTCTCAGGCCCAGGACACAGCCAGGTCCTCTGCAGCTGAGGTCTGCAGGATACCCAGGAAGGGACCAAGGAGCCTTTGCCCTCTGCGGGCTTCTGAAGGTCAGTAAGGAAAGTATAGTGCTTTATGTCAGAAGACTCCGAGGCCTTCTTCACCCTTCCTGTGGGGCTGCGACCCCCTCCTAGGCACTGGCTCCAATCTTTTCCCTGAATACATTGGCTCTCTGTCCTAGAGTTTCACTTGAGGGGACACTGCCGCCAGCAGTTTTCAAATGCTGCGCCCATTCCTTAAAAGGAGCCACTGCGCAGGGGGCGTCAAGCCTGGCGGATGAGGGAGTGGAGGTACCAGGTTACCTAGCAGTCGGGGACATTAGAGCTTGCACTTCAAGAGATAAATTGAAAAAAACCTGTGTGCAGAAATCCATACGTATTACACACACACACACACACACACACACACACAAAATGTTTGGTTGATAAAGATTTAGTATATGCGTGCCATGTCTGGTATTTTTTATAAGACCTAGTTTGGTTGATTGGTTGGTTGATATTACTTATTAATGAGAATGACAATTGAGTGATTTTAGGACAGCATTGTATTCCTCCTGGAGAACCCCTCAAAATGAGTGGAGACATGCCATGTTCCCAGCTGCTCATCTCTGACCTCTTCCTGGTCGGTCGTTTCTCCCTGTTCACCAACCATGAGGATGACACACCAGAACAGGGCAACTTTCTCGAAACGGTCATCTCTGTCCAGCCAACGGAAAGTCGCTGTGTCTTCTAGGGAAGCAGCATGTCTCTGGGGTGCCAGAAACCCCTGACCCTTTCCCAGACCTTTGTCACAAAGGGCAGTACAGGGATTAAAATAAATGATTACATGCATCCCTGTAAATGAGGGTGGAGGGTAAGGGGGGGTGGGGAGATGAGGGGCTTCTACAGTTCTGGAAAGCTTGCAGGAGGCTTGCTCCCCCTGATGACCCCAGCAGCGCCATGCACAGCGTGGGAGGGGTCCTCAGCTTCTTCACCTAAGAGCATCCTGCAGGATGCCAGGGGAAAACATCTCTGCGCAACTTGAGTTGCCTCCACTGAAGTCCGTAGCACAGGAACTAGAGGCGCTTGTCGCCATAGCGGCGTTGGAAGTCTGCGAGGAAGGCAGCCCTCGCAACGCCCCACTCTGCGTGCGCCCTCCTGGGTGCTCCAGCCCCCATGCGCGCCTAGCTAGCTGGCCCCAAGCAGACAGATGTTGACTGCTTTGAGCTGGACCGCTAGGGAGGAGTGACTGGCTAGGCGCAATGCGCAGCGCTGGCCGGGAGCTCTGGACTCCCGCTCTGGGTGCTTGCAGACGGGTGGGGGGGCGGTGAAGAGGTGGGGTGGTGGTGGAGGGAGGAGGGGGGAGTGGGTGGACTAATGATGAAAAAGTCTCCTCCATCCCGGCTCCTTAATTAAATGCATGGAAAGAACCGAGGCGAGCACATCTGGTTTCAATCTGCAGCCCTTTGATGGCATCAAATGTTCTTTTCCCAGATCAGGGCTGGAAGTTCTGGGCTAACTATGGCCGTTTGGAACTCAGAAGCCATTTACACACACTCGGACCCTTCTTTCTCTCCAGTCAAGTCTTTTGACTACAGGGGGGGAAAAACACAACAGCCTAGTAATCAAGAGAGTGAGGGGGTGTATGTGTGTTTAAAGAACATAAAACGCCACAAATAAGCACTTAATATTTTACCTACTCGTCATATAGTAACTCATTTCTAACGAGACTATTAAAGCTGTTACTAAATTCCAACAGGTCATGAACATATCTCTCCGCACCTCTCTGCCCTGTGTCAAGGTCGCACTCAGTGGAGCAGATGACAGGGCATGATCCCTAGATTTAGATGGGGCTTCCCTGGTTCTCTCAACCCACCCCACCCCACTCCCTACAACCAAGCGAGCCTCAAACTGTGCAGAGCCTCTGTTCAGAGCCAGCTCCGAGAGCGTCCAGCCTAATCCACCTCTGCACTGTGCGCCCTTCCCTCGGTGGAGCTTCCTGGATTGGGGAAGTGACCTTGGCCATACCAGCGAGGTTACAAAATTGGCGGGTGTGTATATTGGGGGTGGGTGGGAACGATTCTGGTGTTCTCAGCGTCCTTCCCTCGGCTAAATAAATATGTGGATTTCCCACTGCCCTAGTGAGGGGATTCCTTTTGGCTGCAAAGCTTGGAATCTATCTAGTGCCTCCCAGATCTCCCCAACTTTGCCTTTGGTCTGCAGGGGAAGCATAGGAGAGTCTCCCATTATTAGTGCTGCTGTTATTTTATTACATTATTTAGTAGGTTGTATCTACCGAGCCAAACGTAGTCTTCTTAAGCTTGCTGCCTCTCCAGATCTGTGGCTCTTTCCTCAGCCTCAGCCCCCCCCCCACCCCCACCCAAAGACACTTTTAAAACTGCAGGAAATGGCTAAAAAGAGGCAGAAGGAGAAGAAAATTTGATTGCAATCATTGTGGATTTTTTCCAACCAGTTTCCCTGTAGCTGTTATCAAAACATGCAAATGAGATTTTTTAACGGAATCTTAAACAAATCTGGAGGAGTTAATGCCGAAGCAAAAGAATCAGCTCGTTTGAAGCGACTGTGGGTTTCAGTTTGTCTTTTCTCCCCGCGATACTATTGCAGGGGAATGACAATTAGACCTTTACTTAAAAACTCCAAAGAGGTTCTCTCTCGCCCTCCTCCCTCCCTGTTCTATTCCTCCTCCCTCTTTCACGCTGGCGCTCGCTCGCTCTCTCTACCCCTCTCCCTCCCACCCTCCCTCCCTCTCCTTTCTCTCTGGCTCAGGGGGTTTTCTTAATCAGACTGTTTTTTTGGTCCGCGGCAAAGGAGGAAGAAGGAGATTGTGATGGAGAAAGGGGGTCTGTAAAACGTCAGGCGCGGCACAAAAGCTTTGCCACGTAATTACTGGCTCCTATTAAGTGGAGATCTGCCCTCCCTGGGGTCTCCAATTTTCTTGTATTCCCTACAAAGCCTCCTCTGCATGCCAGTTTGTGCCTTTTGAAGTGCCAGAGAGCTTCTTGATCCAACTGGGAAGGAAAAGGGGAGTTCAGCAAGAAGAGGGGGAGAGAGAGAAGGGAAAGGGGGAAACCCACCGCTACCCTCCTTCCTTCGGACTCCTGAAGCCCTTTTTTTTACTCCTTACGAAAAGTAAAGTGAGAATCCTGCTCTCCAATACATCTGCAAGACATCACCCTCTCCTCCTGAAACCTTAGTCACTCCTGAGAATCCACAGGAGTGCCGAAAGGGGGGAACACGTTTTCTTGAAGATGTTTTAAAGCTGGAACAAGCCTTCTTCTGTTGGTGCTTGAACTCTTGCCTGGGAATAACTTTTTTAACCTTTGAAAAAAACCACCCCACTTTGATTCTTCTCTTCGACCCCGTCTTCTCTCTTCTTCTGTTTGCCTAACTCCCCCGCCCTGCTGGCCTCTCCTGTCCTCTCTCCTCCTCATTATTATTTTTAGTGTGTGCGTGTGGACGCTTTGGGAGAGCTGGAAGGAATTTTTTCTCCTGACTTGAACATAGGGTGACTTCTTAGTTCTATTTTTTGGTGCGGATTATCCCTTTGGACCGCGTCGGACTTGTCGCGGCTGCTGGTGCAGAACGCTCAGCTCTTCAGAAGGGGGTCCCCCGCCCTCTTTCCCACTTTTTTTTTTTTTTGGAACCTTCCCCCTCCTTCTTTCTCGCTCTCTCTTCCCCTCTCCCTCTCATTCTCCTTCTCTCTCTCTCCACTCCCCCCCTCTCTCATCCCCACTCGGTTCCTCTCCCCCCTCTCGCCCACTGTGTTTGGTGTTGATTCGAGCGGGAAGAGGGGGGTGGGTGGGATCGGAGGGGGAGACCATGACCTCCAGCTACGGGCACGTTCTGGAGCGGCAGCCGGCTCTGGGCGGCCGCTTGGATAGCCCGGGCAACCTCGACACCCTGCAGGCAAAAAAGAACTTCTCGGTCAGTCACCTGCTAGACCTGGAGGAGGCCAGGGACATGGTGGCGGCGCAGGCGGACGAGAGCGTGGGCGAGGCGGGTCGGAGCCTGCTGGAGTCGCCGGGACTCACCAGCGGCAGCGACACCCCGCAGCAGGACAGTGAGTGAGGGGCGCCTAACGGCTGGGGGCGGGCCGGGGTGCCCGGGGCCGCGGGCCCGGAGTCGCGGCGGTAGGAGTCCGGAGAGGGAGTCTGGGGCAGGGCAGCGTGGGGATGGTTCCGGGAAAGAGGGCTGGGGGGACCGGGCGGGAGTAGAGGGCTGGGCCGAGGGAGGCTAGGAGGCTCTGGGCGCCTCTCCTCTGCCCGCCTAGTGAGCCGAGCCTGGGATCCGACCCAAGGGTCTTCTTGGAGGCCAAGGAGGCTGCCAATCTGTCTCTGGCGAGCGTGCTGCCACGGGCTGAGCCACTGGGCCACGGGCTGAGCTGAGAAAGGGGTCCCACGGGGCCCAAACTCGGGGAGCGCTCCCTGTTTGCGAAGACAGCGGTTTAAAGATGCCAAGTCTGGCGGAGAGGTGTCGTGTGCAGGATGCGGGGCGCCCCGGGCGGCGGGCACCGGCGCTGGGAGCGGGTCGGCCAGGGCTCGCGCCGCGGACCTGGCCAGCTCACCGGAGGCCACACGGGAGCGCGGAGCCCGAGCCGCCGGAACGGCTCGGTGGCCTTGGCCACGACCTCCACCTGCAGTGGGCTCTAGAGACCTAGGCGGAACCGAAGGTCTGCGAATGTCCTTTTGGGGAGCTAGTGACTTTAATGATCCGCCACCTTTGTTGGTGCACAGTGGAAGTGTGGGCTCCATTGGATAATCCAGGTGTCCCATTGCAGGAGTTCTCCCTCTTGGTACCCAAAGTTTCAAGAAAGTCCCAGTATAGTCTCCAACTCTCCGCTAATCACCATGCTTTTAAGAGTTGACTTCTATTTGAATCTATATATCCCCGAGCCTGAAACAAACCTGGTTTGTTCAGGGTGAATACAGGTCGACCCTCCTCTACTCCAGGTTGTAAGAGTTTAAAACTTCTCTGGAAGTTTTAAAGTGAAGATTGTTTTCCATGTTATTCTTTGATGCTATTTAGTTTGGGAACCTGCCGAACTCAGAAGCACCCGGGATTCGGGATTCTATAATTCCCAACTACAAAGTGGATCTCAGACTCAGTAAATAGAAATACAAAACAAACCAGACACAGAAACAGTCAAAACAGGGCTAAGGAGAGGTGAGGAGCGCTCAAAGGGACATGCTACAGCAAGCTCCGGTGGAACGCCTTTCTTTCTCCAGACCCTTGGTCCAGGCCTGTGGGCTCTGAATTTTTTCAGCTAAAAGACTATCTGAGGTGGATCCATCCTGGTCGCTGTCACCAAGGGAGTCATGAAGTACTGGCGGAGGGGATCTGGTCAGGCTTTTCCCTAGGGAAAATTTGCCAACTCAGAGAGTCACAACCCTTCAGTCCTGGACTGGGGCCCCCAGCAGAGGTGGGTATGTCTTGTGGAGGGCATTGGTGTCTGAGTGCCTGCTCCAGTGGCATTCGCTGGCCACCATAGTGACCTATTTAGAGTAGGTGGGTACTTTGAGCACAAACAAAATGCCTTGCAAAATACGAAGATTATTTTTTAGCGTTTTACTAAGGGAAACTTAAAATATACAAAGTAGGGAAACTAATATTCTGTGGATCCCCATGTGCTTAGCCCTCAGCGTCACCAACTCTGCATTCAGGCATTCTTGTTTCCCAAGATCGCAATTTTTATCACTCATCAGAAAACTCCAGGCTGGACCCACGGAAGAAAACGGGTCCCTAGAAACTGGTGCGCAGACTAGGGTGGGGCAGGATAGGCTAGCTAGCGCTGCTTTGCTCACCAAACAGGCAGATTGATGGGAAAAACATGCCCAAAGTCGCCGGCATAATAACCTGGGACCTAAGAGCCTCTTTGGATACCAATAAGCTAGCACAGGATTGAAGGCAATACTGGTCTTCTAGTGGTTGCTACCAGAAAGGAGCTCAGGCTCCTCGGATAAAGGCTGGGAGGAGGAGGCCGCCTTGTGTGAGCCCTGAGATGCTCAGCTCTAGTGTTGGTTGCTAGACAATGGGAGCTGGGATGTGGCACCTGCAGGCGTCCAGGTCAGGCTGCTTACTTAACAGCCACTGGAGGATACATCTGGGCCTCTGGCAGAATTGGGGACTGTGAGTCTTTAGGTAGGGGGATGAGATTTTGGAAATCAGCAAGTCTGATAAAGGAGCACATCTTATAGTTTAGAAGAAAAAACGAATGATACCTAGGGAGAGACAGATCCAGAGGCTTCTGAAGACCCCTTGAGCCAGCCAGTGAAAAGCTGGGTCATGTAAATGGAGCTGATGGGTATAAATTGAGAGGCCTCTAGACTGTCAAAGTCTCTGAGAAAACGCACACACACTTTCTTTGCTTCTTAGTGAGATGGCCAAGTCTGTTATTGGAATAATTTGTCACCTTTAGAACCTAGCAGTGTTTCCTCAACCTCCCTCCTCTCCTCCAGTGATGAAACCCCAAGTGCCTGTCTGACAAGGTCTTTGCAATAGCATCCTTAGTTCTGTGTCCACCAACAGAAGTTGCCAAAGAAGGCTTTGTCTGAGCTACTAAAATGTCAGCACCTTGGTGGCTGAGCTGGGTCTCCAGCCTGCAGTGGTCCTTACTCAGACTCACATGGTAAATTAAACAGTAAGGGGAGAGACTCAGTCTCTGGGAAAAGGAGGGATAGAACACAGGCTCTACCATTCTGGCCTGCCATGGGGACAAGGTGGAACCAAGACTTAGGGACTCCTTGCAGTCCCTTGGGCTCTAGACAGAAGGGAAAATGTCAGAGACGGTTTTACACTTCACCTATTGAGGCCATTTTAACCCCTCCAGTTTATGAAAGTTCCTTTACAGTGGAAATTGGTAATAGGTCTTGGTTTTGCAGATTGTTGCCTACAGGCCTTGGCCAACCATTTGTCCTAAGTGAGAGCTTTAGGCTGCCCACTCCACTGTGTTTACCCCCTCTAGTGATAGTCAATTTACTTTTTCCCCCCTACCGTAAAATGACTTCTTTCTTCCTTCCTTTACCAATTCTTTTCCTTAGCATATCTCTCACACTTTGGGTATAAATACTTTTCTAAAAATGATTAATGGTTCTTTAGCACCATGACTGGGCATCCACTTGATGGCAGCGAGTTTGGTTAGCACTGTTAGGACTCCAGAGGCTAATGGGGCAATATGTGCTGTGAGTGGGGGCTGCGGTGGAACTGGGGTAGTCTAAGGGAGGAAAAAGGAACAAGTCATAAAAATAGGCAGACCGTCCTAGGAGGACCCAGCATCGGCATCCTGCTGTCATTTCTTAATCTGAACTTCTGCAAACTCTTAAAAAAAGCTCTTGCCTTCCACGTTCCCAACTTCTAAATTAGTGAAACCAGATTGTCCTAATAAGACCTTTTGTTGGAAACACATGTAGTCATAAAAAGGTAGACGGAAAGTCAATTAGACACGCGCGCGCGCGCAGACACACACACACACAGAAGCACACACTCACAAACCCGTGCTAAGCATACACCAGGCGCAGCTGGGCCCCGGGCTTAGGCAGGACGCAAATGGAGAACAGTGACGCGGGGAAATCGATTTGTCACAAAGGGAGAGGTGTAAACGCGACTCCTAGGACCCGCGCTCCCCATCCGCCCAGCACACACGAATGGATGGCGCCTCTCAAATGAATCCCCATTGCCCGATAAGCGTCCAGGGACGGGGAACATTCTCTAGGACTCTTCTCAGCCGGAATTTGCATCAGAATAAAATGAAAACCCAAACCAAACCCTTCACCCTGGAGGCCATTTCTATTCCTAGTTGATTCTAAAGGACAGAGTAGAACTGCCCTGTAGGATTTCTAAAGCAGTAATTTTTACATCTTTCTCACTTGGAGTTGGTGGTTTTTTGAACTGCTGACCTTGCAATTGGGACACCTCACCATGTTACCTGGGAGCCCCAGCGGTGTAGTGGTTATACTTTGGGCTGTGATCCCCTTTGAAAGCACTAACAGTTCGGCGGGAGAAAGACTGGGACTTTCTAGTCCCATAAACAGTTACAATCTGGGACCATAAGTCAGTATTGACTTGATCGTAATGAGTTTGGGGGTTTTTTACGCTTCTTACAGAAGCGTCCTGCCACGTGGTTCTTCAGAGGGGTGGCTTGTCAGTGCGGACCTCCAACCTTTCCTTAGCAGCCAAGCACTATAACCAGTACGTAACTCGGGTAACTTCCAGAATAGTACTGATTCCCTGTAACATCTCAGCGTTTTTAACCTTGGCGCCAGAATTCGCATCTATTGTTTGCACCCCTGAATCTGGACCCTAATTATTTCTATTTAAGGGGAGAGTCAAAATTCCAGGGCAGCCAGCTTTTTTTTTTTCCTCTTTAGAAAGGCCGGTCCTTAACCTAATGTCAAGGCGAAAGAAAAGGCAGTGAATCCTGTTTCTTTTGCATGCTGTCTGGGTGACCTTCTAATATTTTATGGAGAAATTGACAGTCCAGAGACTCCAGATCATTTCGGGGCGAAAGACCACTTCGAGCTAGAAATGGAGGGGATGTGGACCTCTGAAGTCGGAGGCTTCTTCCTTAGACGCGAGCTCCCTCACCCTTCGGACACCAAGCGGCACAGCCCCCACCGCTCCTTTCAAGACCGACACCCCTGGAGCCTCAGGCGTTCGGGAACCTGGCCTTTGGGCTCCAGGACCTTCCCGACGCAGAGCGAAGGTCAGCGCGCAGCGGCCGTCAGGCGGCCAGCAGTGGTTCACAGGGGTCCCCGCAGCTTCTTCGTCTCCTCGGAGGCGTCGTTTTAGATTTTACAACGGGAGCGAATAAATCATCCCCCAAACCAGCACGATGTCACCCTCCCCGGTGCTAAAAAAAAAAAAAGCCCAGCCACTTCAGAGGCAGCGCCTCCTTCCCACTTCGCTTCCAGATCTTCTGAAATGCAGCCTTTGACCAACTCTGCCCGCTCGCTCGCAGCCCGCGCCGGGGCCTTTTCTGCTTTTTTCCCCCCACGAAAGGTCAGTTGTAGATTTTCACCTAATAGGATCAACTGATCCGTTGGCTTTTTGTTTTAAAAGGCAGGT